AAATCAGGCTTTTGCCATCTGTCCTGATTCCCCTTTCCTCCATCTCTGTGCAATACAAACAGGAAGGGTGAATGTAAAAGCCACTGACACATTATTCAATGAAAAATGGTCGGGAGAGGTCAGGAACAAAATCTCAGGGCTGTTTAAAGTTGCTTGATTGCTGCCTGTGTAGCAAATAAGGCAACCATACAAAGGTCACTATGTCTCATCTTATTACATCAGTGCCCTTTCAAAGTACATTGTGTCCCTTCAAGTTGTGTCACATCAGGAGCTGGTTGAGTGCTTCATTGTGACTAATATTCATTGCTAATTTAACTTTCTGTTACTGGTACGTTATTTGTGAACTGATTCTGGTTCCTGGAAACATATTATTTGTTATTTGCAGGAGTGTTTGAACAATTTACAGATGTTCCATCTGGTCTTTCATGTTGTTAAGGACGGTTACCTAAAACACATGATTGCTTCTCCTTCTTGATTAGATAACTTTTTTTTTTTCAATAGTAGAAGAATAAGATTATCAAAGCATTCATGTATGTGTTCACTCCTAAGTAGCCTTAATCTCCTTTAAAAAAAAATTGTAAAAAGAGCCAAAAACGTTATCAAACCAATCTGTGAGAATTTTAGCTGACAATGAGCATGAACATGAAGGATTTTAAATATCAACTATACTTTCACTACATGGTTATGAGTTTTATTTCATTTCATTTTTTTTTTTAATTATTGCATTATGAAAACAGTTAAAGTCAAATCCCTGCAGATCTCATATTAGGAGTAAAACTCAGAATTCTCCACTAGAGGACTCCCTCTTCTTTTAAATGAGATGTTCAACGCTCAAATAAGGACTATAAGCCAATATCCTTTGGTCTTAGTTATCCAAGTGGTTAACTTACAAAAATGTGTGAATGAGGTCAATGCTGAGGGACTTGTGTGAAGTCTCAAATGTTCAATTTTTAGCTTAAAGTGGAAGAAGATTTTTAACGCAGCATCCAATTCAATTAACCAAGCTGTGGGATTGAACTGAAGTGCATCAGAAATCTCACTCTGTTCTGACATATGCATAATATTGTATGCATACTGTTGCACTTTCTGTCATTCACACTCCAAAATTTATCAGACATGCTTCTCACCCACCACCAGGACACACTGTTTTATTTTGGCTTCTGTGAGCGTGGGAAGATGTGAGGGCTTATTATAAACTATTGAAACCTGAGGGAAGTAAAGGGTTGTTTTTTCTTAGGGTCGATTTCCAAGTTAAACCTACCCTAGTTTAATGGGGATATGCTAATGAAAGGGCTAATGGCCGCCGTCAGTCTGTTTGTACCTGGCTGTGTGTTCCCTCTGCCTTCCCTCTATCATAGGTAAAGATTGTGCAGCTGCAAGGTGAGCTGGATTAATCAGCTGGCTCGATAGAAAACAAAACTATCAAAATAGTCAGATAGGCAAATAGAGACGGGTCACAAGGTCCAGCAAGGGAGCTGGAGGTGCACAACAGCTGGCAGAAGGATGGCTGGGAGGGAGCAAGACTTTCAGCTGCAGTTTGCAGTTGCACCAGATTAGGTGCAACATGAAACCACAGATTTTCAGGCTACTGAAAATGTCATGCAAACACCACTTTGTTTTTCCTTTGTTTTATTTCTGAAACCGAAGTTAGGTCAGATCCTGGCTTCTGATCTGTAAGGTTAGATTCATGCACTTTCCTGGAGTTCACTGGGTTCACAGCTGCTCTGTTTAGAGGCAGATACAGAACAGGTGGCCTGAGAGAATTAGGCCAATAAAAGATGTGTAAGTAAACTTATGTGTACTTTTTTTTTTTTTATTCCTCCTCCTCATACTGCAGTGGCACAGCTTTCTCTAGGACAGTACCAACTATATTACTTAAGGGATGCACTCGTTGAAAATATCGAAGACAATATATTATGAATCCAATTGGTTCATTAAAACAACCTTTGTAGTGCCCAGTGAACAGATTTGAGACTTGGACAATGTCTACTATCTGTGTTCAAGCTGTAACACATTCTTAAATATCCAGTAAACATATGTTAAAAGTAAGATCTTCTCTCACTAAGATTAGGTGTTGGGAACACAAATGTGGTATGATGATTTGATGTTTTTTCTGTATCTAACAGATTTGTCATCATGCCCTACCTGGAATGAATAAGTAAAAATGATAGTTATTAAAATAAAACATCTGAAAATAAAAAAATGGTGATGGTTTAGCATACTGTACTTTTTTTTTTTGCCTTCAAAGGGTTATATTTTATATTACTATACTTTACACATGTTTATCCATTTGATAGTATAGCAAAATGTTTAAACTATTTACTGCCAAATATAATTTTCTGGGTCTTTTGTGCTTGCTTTTGAGACACACTAATAAAAAGCACACAGACCTTTAGTATACACACCTAAATCCAGGGATGGCAAACTACTATATAGAACGTACTGTACTAGTTAAAGCATCTTGCCTTTCTTCTTGGTGGATTTATGAACAGCATGTCTTTCATTGTAAAAAGAGACTGTTTAACTTAGTGTTAGTTACTGAGTGCTGAATGATATTTATGGTTTTAATGTACAATGGCCTACAGCTTAAAAAAGGCAGTTTGTATGGACAAATTCTGTGAAATCACAGAAGAAAAGAGAGTACACTTTAACAGAACAATGAAACCAGTTTTAAGACTTTTTGAGGGTGAAACCTAAGAACTACATGTATGAAAACAATTCTGTTATCTGCCTCCTTTCGTATGAGCAGGGAGTAACCTAAATTTAACATTCTCAATTTCATTTCAAGACAGACTCTCAAGGACGTAGACTATGATGTGGGCTGTGTACCTATCAAGGGAGAAGAAATCCTTTTATTTGTAGTTGGGATGGCTCTCATGAACTTTGATCCAGGCACAGAGTGTTTGCCTATTTCTCTATTGCCAGATGAGTATGAGGAAGGGAAGGAGAGTGGGAAGTCTGGGCTGTAAGCTTCCATTTAGTGGCCAGCACAGCTGATACAAGGAGAGAAGGCATCATGATGAACTAATACAGGCCCACAGCAGGGGTATGTCTGAATAATTCTTCCTATATGACTCAAGGGAAAGTATAATTAATAATTCTTTAACTAGTTCCTTTTATCTAGCTTTAAAGCTCCATACCTGGCCGCAGTAACCATTACCTATTCAATCCATGATGAAAAATTCTAAATAAATTACATTTTTGGTGATAATTTTAGCTGGAATGCAAGTAGAAATAACCACAGCTCCTGAGTGCTGAATTAAGATAGCAATAATCAGAATTAATAAATATAAAGCAAACTATCTAGACGTAACAAACCATTCAGTATTATCAAAGTACACTTTAGCTAGATAGCTTATACTGAAAACTGCAGTCTTCTAAGGAGATGTCTACCAGGTACGGCTGATATTTTTATTATGGAATAAAAACCAAGCAGTTCAGCAAGTATAAAGGAATGACTGAAATTAAGAGAAGCATGAAAAACCATCAGTGGTTTAACGGCAACTTCAAAAACTAGATATAGACACAAAAAACATTTAAGTAGAACTTAAAAGATGCCATGTTTGAAGAAGATACGTCTTTTGTTAGACAAACTGATAAAGTTGGATAAAACGGACACGCTTTTGGGCTCAGCATCCCTTAACCAAAGGTGCCAAATTCCAAACATAATCTTTTTTCCCGTTGTATTAGTTGACCTAATAAAAGACATGTCCTCTCCCTTACCTCGCTCGTGTCCTTAGATCACCGTGCTTATAAGGAACACTACTCCGTTTTGGCAAAATACTACAAGGTGGAACAAAGATACCTTCTACAGTGATAGGTATCAGAATCAAAACAAGAATGTACATTCCTGCAGAACGTAGTCCAGTCATAAACCAAGATTTTACTTTATCATCTATTTTTCCTCTCTTTTTAATTTTTAGATGAAGGCATCTTTGTTTCTGCAAGGCGCATACATGGATAGCAATTGAAGTTCTTTCCTGACTATAGTCAGTGGTCTTGGTTCCCAAGTGAAAGTTTCCATTCTTCATCTAGCTTTGGAAACAATGGTCAGTGTCTGGCCTCAATTGGCAGTGAGCTGACTTCCACCATGATAACTTGTTCTCATCTACCAGTATGAAAGTCTTAAGGTCTGCAAAAGGTAAAACAAAAACAAAGGAAAAGAACAATTATGACATCTAAGAATAATTACCAGCAAATGTCAGCTTATCTTCTGCTGTTTGTGCTAACCTCCAGTAGAATTTTGGGTGCCAAATTCAAGGACTTGTTCGTTTTCATTGACAAGAATCCCAGGGATTGACTCATGATATGTAAACAATAATCCAATATCCCAAAATAAAGCCTGGGATTGGCAGCTTCA